AATTCTGTTAAATATATAATATAAATATAGGAGACGTTTTTCTATTTATCTTTACTCGTGTGTTATGTTTTGAAAAAATAGACCGAACTTAAAAACGATAGGTCAACCGGTCGAGGAAATCAAAAAATGTCTAAATTGAGTTCAACTAAAACTTCCATAAAATAAATGTTTACTATATTATATAAGCTACAATTTAAATATCGAAAGAGGGTTTCAACACCTGCAAACACATAAATAAATATATCAACATCTCGATGCTAAGTTATACAATTAGAATTTTGTATATTTAAACATCGTTGTTATCCTTAATATGTAAAACGTATTTTTATAATCTCAGTTTTTTTTTTTTTTTACAAATGTTGAAAACCACGTAATTTAATTTTTTGTTTTCCAGAAGACACATTTTACACCCATTTTAACACGTCAACTGTTAGTGGTTGAACCAATTCTGTAAGTACTTAGCAGCTGAGTTGTTGAAAGTAAAATTGCTGAAATTCAGCCATTTTTGAACTTGGAAAGTTGGTTCAACCGCTTAAACTAGTAAAAACATAATTTGTGGCCAAACGGTAGGTTCAATTTAAAAGAAACTGAATTTGTCCGGCGCATCCGCTAATCTATCAATCTATAAAAAAAAAACAAATTTTAAATTGCATAACTCGGAGCTGAACTATTAAGTGTTTACTATGCCGTTTGCACACTGTATTATTAAATTTTAATAGAAAATTCCGAAAAAAATCAATACTTTTTAATCACTCTAAACATAGGTTTGGTATATATTATAGGCGGTCAAGTCGGTTAGGTAGGTACCTATAATATATATGCACACAAAGTTTTAATACGATGTTATGGTTATGGTTGTAATAATTTTTTATGAAGGACACTTTAAACGAGACAAAATTATGCAATTAGCGCTGCCGTTATATTTTATACGATAATTGTTTGTGTGTTGCGAGATAAATAACACCATAGGAGACGGACAAGTTATAATAGTGATAATATTGTACACTACCTATATAATTGTGTAATACATAATATAATATACGATATTAAAATTTGGTGGAAATAACCGAACTTAATTATTGCAGATTGAAACTCCTGTTTTCACGTATACGAAGGCGCCAGTACACTAATTACTGCATGCAGTGGTGTAGCTAGAACTTTTAATGCTCATACCTCACCGCACAAAAAAAAAAAAGTTAATCAGAAGAAGATTCGTAAAAATTATATGTGTGCACCCCCACCCCCTCCCATTCCATCAATTTGGGAAAACAATAATACCTTGGACCCAAATTCGGGACCCGTAAACATCAAAATCGTATGGTCCTGAGGCTCATTGCCCGTTATGCCACCCTATCGGTACGTCACTAGCAGACGATTTAAATTGTTGTTGACGTCGTTATGTCATAGACCAAGGAATAGTCTAAAGCGTTGTTTACGATACGGAGAAAAATGTTGCGTTGTAAGAAATACGTTTTTTTTTTCTATAAGTTATTTAAGTCTGTCAAACTTTTGAAATAAAATAGTAACATCAATATAAAAAGTTTGATTTATAGTTTATCAACTTATCCAACCTTGCATGGAAAGATATTAGTAAATCATTGCTCTTAGACTACAACTAGAAAAAATAATCTCAACAAATTATTATAAATTACTCCGTCCTTCTAAACTTTTTGAGATGAAATGGACTGAGTTCCTATATAATCTAGTTAATTTTGTTTTGAAATTATGGTTCCTTATGGTTTTATATATGCAAAACCGTCTTTTTCTTTCCTGGCACTCGGTATTCTTCAAGAGTTTTAGTAATGAAAAATATCCTAAAAGTATATCTACATTTTTCATCATATGAGAATAACATTGAATTTCTTGTATTTGTAGTTGATTTGCTTTGAATTTTTAAACGCTATCAGAAAAAAAATTACAATTTGATTCTATTACAATTTTTGGTATAATGACTATGCAAACTACGAAGATTTTTGATCGACATGAGTCAATTAAAAAAAATAACAGTATTAGGAATTGGTTTGAGGCTTTTAATATAATGTTTAAGATGGGAGCCAATATTTTGATGTACTTCTGACAAAAATCCTTAAATTATTAGCTGGCATAGACAAAAGTATTGAAATAAATAGGCAGACCAGAAATTACTGTAATTTTACATATTGTATTATGTTTAAGCCAACGTAATATGTGCGAGAAAAAAATACTATATGGTTTTTTTCATAACAAAAAAAATATCCATACGTTTGTTTTAATTTGTTCATAATAAAAGTTATGTAAAGCTACTAGAAATCATATATTATCATAAAATAGCAGTGATTGAGTGGATTTGTCATGACGAATACGAATTATCACATGCACACGGGCACGTATTTACGAGTTTAAGGGTTCACACCCCCTCCCCCTCCCCGAAGTTTGTAAAACTCATTTTATATTAGTTTTATAATTTAATATTTTTAATTGTTTTGCTTATAAACTTCCCCGAAATTTGATCTGCATGCACATTGCGCAACAAACTACATTACTGTTTAACTGATCCAAAGAGCATAATATTAAGTGCGTTACCCTGGTTAATGTTAAGAAAATATCACACGCCTGATATTTAAAGGATCGCTTATAGGAAATTTGAACGGACTTGTTGAATAAAATGTATCGATTAAAAAATATTTGAATAAGCTCAGACATAATGGAGGTGAAATAAATGATTGGAATCTCTAAACGTGGTATAGTGAATGGTATACACTACACACGACACGGTAACTACAGTGGGTTTCACATAAAATGTTCATAAAATTTCCCAAACATTAAATATTACATACATATGTATTTGATTAACCTGTTTGGCTAATTCATATTGTACGTTGCCGCCAATCCGAAATAGGTAGATCAGAAACATTTTCTGTTACTTTGTGGAGGATACGTTTTTTTTTTTATGAATAATTTTGCATCGCTGGGAATCGAAACAGTTATGATTCTATTTACATAATTTACCAATTAAGAAAATACAGTAGGTACTTGGCAAGGTTTATTGAATTATGAATTTTATATTTTATATTTGTATACATACTAATATAGATTATTATATATAATGTACTTTTCAAACATCCGACGAACTGTGCTTACATCAAAAAACAAGTATTCAAAAGAAGCCTCATTTCTTTACTTATAATTGTTTTTAATAACCTGCAACACGGTATAGCTATTTAATATGTTATTATAAATATTAAATACTTTTAGAAGACTATTCGATATCAAACAGAATTTAATGTTATGATTATCCTCTAATTTACATAAACTTAAGTGGGAGAAATACGTCGAGCCAAATTTGTTGAAAAGCACATTTTATAAAATAAAAAATACAGACTTAAAAACTTTTAAATGGAAAAAAACAATTTATTACTGATCATAAATAATAATAATATACTAACCGCGTTTATTGACATTTTATTGCACTGTTAAATTGAACGAGCAATCATTATTTCTACAATTTAAATATTTCTCGTCTACGGAACTCTGGTAAAACAAAATACGCATTTCATAAATTAGATTGGAGAAGTGACATCGATTCCTGTATAATATTATGACTTTTGTCTTATTTAAATTCGGCGAACGAACTACGTATTTATTAACAGCATAAATATTAGAATTATCATGAAAATTAATCAAAGTAGATATATTCTGCTTTGATTAATCCGTGTAACTCTGTACAGAGTGGAAACATAGAAACCAAGAAAACTATAAGACAATTATGTGAAAACAAAGTTCTTAATACTAGAATGAAAAATCTTGCGGATAATCGTCGATACAACAAAGAATGAAGATGAAGAAAGCAGAGAGTGGAGAAGAGGAGAAGGAATGCAGAGCTGGATGTCCCAATTTTAAAGTACAAGTGTTGTATACGTTATAAAGATGAAAAGATTTTAATGAACGGAACATGCTTGTGTAAGAAGCGTACATTTATAATGAGAGCAAAAAAAAGCTGCGATGGAATTGAATTTGTGTGGAAAAGACCACTAAAGAGGCCCAGAACGCGATGGAAAGATGTGATAAAAAAAGCTGTCTTAAGATAATGGGGACGGGTGCGGCCACTGTTGTAGGTGGGGAGTTGGGAAAATAGGATGCAAAAGAGAATTTATAGTGTATCTGTAAACAACGATAAACCATTGCTAATCAAAAAAAGATTCTGAGCGGGGTTCAGTTGATAGTAATGTTTTGTCAACAATATATATGTCATATTATGGTAAAATAATTAAATAGGCATTATATATTTTCTTCAATAATATTTTTATTAAATCAATATATAAATACAAAATTATGTATAGAGATAAAAATAAATAAATGCATGAGTGCGTCACCTGGAGTATTATGATAAGTGTATTATACGACCGGTTTCGAAATAAAAATCCATCATCAGATATATCTCAGGCAAAATGTAAGTAAATGTAAAACCATTTAGACGAATTTTTAATTCAAACCCGGTCGAATAATACACTTATCACAATACTCCAGGGAAAGCATTCATTCATTTATTTTTTTTATTTTTTTTTATATGTAATTTTATATTTATATATTTATTTACGAATATTGATCATTTTAATAATTTCGTTTTTACTGTATTATTTTATTAATAATATTTGTTTAATATTGATCCCATTATCCCATTTTTCCTACGGCTTTCCCATGTTTTTCCCGGTTTTTCATATTTGCGCGAAAACTCTCGGGACAATCGAAAAATGTCCTCTCTAATGTACCTCTCCAGTCAGATTTCATTTTAGAAAAAGTGTTATCATTGTAAATCGGAACCAGTAAAAAAGTTGTCCACAAAAAAAAAAAAAATTAAAATAAACATCTTTGTAAAACCATAAGTTTCTTCGCTTCACTCAGAATCTAAAAAGACTAGTAGGAATCTTATCATTAAAACAACAAGAATTACGTTATGTCTCGGATTATTTTTATTATTTAGTAGCCGGAAACAAACAAAAAATCTGTGATCCCCGCCATTATTATTTAACCGTGGTGGTACCACCGTAGATGACTTTATGGAAAAACTTCAAAATGTTGGAGTCCACGTCATTGGAGCTTAGAATTGCGGCCTCGTAATCTCCGCGGTCGCCGCGTCGGTCATCGAGTCCCGAAGAGCGGAAGTCGCGCGGACGTATTTCGTCGCCGCCTACGTGCGAGTCGCCGGTGCGGTCAAGACGATGCGCGGAAATGTAAGACTCGTTGACGTCACGGCCGTTGGCCGAAGTCGGCCCGCTCCTTTTACAGTACAACGGACGTGACTGCGGCGAAACGTCCGATTGTTTCTGAAACTGACAGTCGAGCCCCTGGCGACTGAAATCAAAACTGTAATGTTCGTACTTCGCGTAAGGGCGACGGGCGGCCGTGGTCGAGACGGTGTCGGTCGATTTAACGGTCTCCGGGACGTCAGCGGTGTAAGAACGTTGTCCGCCAATCGCCTGCTTCATGCGGCACTCCCGGTTCCGCAACATGCGTTCACGCTGCTGTCGGTCCATGGGCGGTTTGGCCCACAACACGTCTATGGAAACGCCAGAGTCTAAGTCCGTGGCGCCGTCCAAGTTGTCCATGGCCACCTGGGCGTCCTCCCGGCGGGCGAAGTGCACGAACGAGTAGTTTTTCAAGTTCTTCACCCGTTCGACGGTACCGTATCGGCCGAACACTTTTGTGAGCACTTCCTCACTGAGCGTACCGCCGTATTGCCGGACGAACAGTATGCGGACCGCCGCCATGGTATCGTCGTCGAATTCGGGTTCGGGGTCAGCCCAGTCGACGATGGTCCGACACCCGAACGTCGTGTTCCGGGACAACCAGTACTTGGCTTCCACGGCCGCGGCTCGCGATTCATAGTCCAGAAAACAGAATCCCCGGTGCAGGGCGGGGTCCTCGAAGTTCTTGTAAGTGATCACGCGGACCAGCCCGAACGTTTTCCGTTTCAACTCAGCGCAAATGTCCCGTTCCGTCTTGGCCTTTGGCAGATTGCCCACGAACAACCTGTGCGGGCCGCGGTTTCGGCTCAAGTCTTCGGTTTCGATCCTGTTCCCGTCCCCGATATTCGCGCAATCAACGGTGGTCGCCATATTATTGTCCACGTGAATATTAGAATGATCCGTGTGGAAAGTCGTCGGACAGCCGTTTATTCGTTTATCGCACAAAGTATTCCGTATTCGGGTTTTCTACCGACGAATTCGTAATAGTTTGTCTCTAATGTTTCCGTAATAGGTACTCGTGTAGTATAACTCGCGATCGACATTCTATCGAAATGTCAATTTTACCGGGCGAAACGATAGTGATTTTACAGGCGGCCAGTCGATAACATTATTATTTTCAATAATATTAGATTTATATTGTTTTAAATAGATAAAAAAATAAACAATGATAAAATCTGCTAAACCAATTGGCCCAAAAACAAATGGTCAGGATGGATAACTAAACAGTTATCTAGATCAGCGATTCTCAACCTACGGTGCTTGAAAACATTTTTTTGATAAGTGAAATATAAAAAGTTATTAGTTGTAATGTAGTTCGTTAATCCATAAATAATCATAAAAAAAATAATAACTATACATATTTAGTTTTACTATTGTTCGTATTACGAGTAAATGCTCACCATTATGTAGATTTGATAACAATAAACTCTATACATGAAAAATAATATACATTCATTTTATTTTTTAATAAGCAAAAACAAAAACCTAACAACCGTGTTAATTGGTATGTAAACCATTTTAAAATGTTTAAATGGTACGCATATATGAAAAGATTGAGAACCCCTGATCTAGATAAAGATAATAGATAATTCATACGGATTTATCTTGGTGATTAGTTGGTGGTTAGTTGATTTCAAAACGCTTATTAAAAAAAAAAAAAAGTCGTAGAAAGAAAGTAAATCAAAAAGGCAACAAAAATGGGTATCTCGCGGTTTTTCGATAAAATCATTTTCTCTGACGGGAAACGTCGTCCGTGTTTTTATAAAATAAAGAAATCGTGAGATCGTACGTTTTCCTACGTTTTCCCCCCCTCCCCCACTTTTTTCCCCAAATTCGTGCCGTCGGTACGGTTTTTATTGATTTCTCGTTGCGTTTATTTTCCACTTATTTTGTTATATATTACAAACAGGTACAGCGTGTCATTGTCGCGGCCGTCGCATTGTGCAAACGGATCGCGGATATAAATTACGCTGCGCGCGGCGGCTGGACAAGCGAACGGAATTTGTTTCCCATACCTTGGTTGAGACGGTTATTTTTTTTTCCCCCGCCCAAGTTCGGTTACGCGTTTCCGGGAAAACGCATTGACTTGTAGTTGAAAAGTTACTTTCGTGTTAAATTACCCTTAGCTATACACATTCTGCACACTCGTAAACATAATATCCCGTACACTTTTAAATGTGTGTATGGACTTCCGGAATTTTTTCCGGAATTTTTTTCCGGAACATTTATAAGACAAGCTGCTCTACAATTTGATATTTGTGTTATTTTTTGTCACCATTATTTCCGGGGATAAAGCCACTGCCTACTTTTGATTTTCAAATGGCTGCCTACAGTCCATAAATATATTGAGTATTAGTTAAAATAAATTAGATTAGTTAAAATAAATTAGATTAGTGAAAATTTTGATTTCCGTCAAGCCGTTGACGAAATATTCCGCTTTAAATTTTATATTGAAGGAGAGTAGTGGTACGCCGCACGCCGTACCGCCACGCAAATGATACTCCATTACTCTCCTCCAACCCAAACTTAAAAGTGAAATATCTCGTCAGCGGATCGACGGAAATCAAAAATGTCAACACTGAAATTTATTTTAACTAATACTGCATCTATTTATGGAATTTTCAATATAGGTTGACCTTTGAAAATAAAAAGTGGTTTTACCCCCAAAAATAAGGGTAACAAATATTAACATAAATATAAAACTGTAGATCAACTTGTTTCTTAAATGTTCTAGAAAACAAATTTCTGACAAATGTAATGCTTCCCAAGATAATTGGAAATAAAATAAATATGACGTTTTCATAATAATCGGATAAACCGGGAAACGGAACATATTTACAAATTTAAAATGTTTCAAGTTTTTTTTTTTTCTACATGAAAAAGAAAATGTCTACAACTTAGTAATTTCAAGGGTATAGGATCTTTTTTGAAAGAAGATTTCGTTTAGTTCGTAAGTAAGAAAGTATTTTTTTTTTTTTTTTGCAGGAGTTTTCCGAACAACGTAGGAAAAACGGGAAAATATGTACAATATTAAACAAATATTATTAAAGAAAATATATAATGGATATATGTAATTTTTTTTACCATAATACGACGTGTTATATATAATGTTGAAAAAGCAACTACACTTTCAACCGAACTCCGCTCAGAATCGTTTTTGCGTTATCAATGGTCAATCGTTGCGCACTGATATACATTAAATTAAATTACATTTCCCCTCGACTATAATACCTTTCTAACTTCTCACCTACAACAGTGGCCCACCCACGTGCGAAGTATGTCCGTCTTTTTTATTTTTTTTTTTTTTTATTTATTTAACAGTCGCGCATTAGCAGCAGACGGCGCACCTGAATATATTATTGCTCAAGGGACAGATTGGAATAATTGCAGTAACACCGCGAGGAATCCGTTTCTCTATATAACTTGCAACGCTTTTTTGTCGTAATTATTATTATTATATATACCTACCTGACCCGAACGTTAAACGGACACGGTAAACGTATTTACGAGTTAAACGCGGGGGCACAATTATTACCGAGTCAGCTGCAATTATATAATTATTTTAGACAAATAATTTATACGACGTGACGCGAGTGGGAAACAGTGCGGGTTTTGTCCCAACTCGCGGTACACAATATAACCTGTTATATTTTGGTAGGTAGTTCCGCGGGTTCGAGTGGTCGAATCGGTACCTACCTAATAAACCTGCCGTTTTACTATTAAATTATGGTTTTCTTTTTTTTTTAATTTTTTTACAGACGACTTTTCAAGCTACACATACAACGTCAACTGTGTAAAGTTTCGGTGTACTTATATATATATTAGATCTTTAACGAGACAATTCCGGCCAACTATAATAATAAGTGTGATAATACGGAAGAGTGCGATCGGTGATGTTAACGAGTATAAAATTTAATATACATAATATTTTATTATTCGTGTATTGATACACATAAGAAACGAATATACTATGGTGACAATGTATACAGTCTTAAGTAATTAACGGTCGGTTATCAATGTTTTACAATATAATTTATACTTGCATATCAACATTTCCGGATAGATTATTCTGCGTCAGAAAACAAATTTAGCACTGTAAGTTGTAATGTAAAATACAATTCTGCGATTTTTACGATTTTCATACAAATATGAATGAAAAACTCTCACCAATCAAAAAAGACGACATAACGTTCAACTCTTTTTTCACCGTTAAGTACAACCTATATGATGAATCTTATGTTAAATGTTTGATAATTTGTGTTGTACCAGTAATTTTTATCGACATATAAATCCAAATAAAAACTAAGAAACTAGACAATTTCAAATGATCCAAATTAGGGCTCGGAACTTATTGCACTTAAAATCCACAAAAAACGCTTAAAAACACCAAAAATAACTTCAAAATAACTATCAAAAATGGTAGAAGGGTTTAAAATTACACCCTATCTAATAATTTTAACTTATTGAACACAACTGTCTAACTAATATATCTACACATATAATGTCCGTCTAACAAATTGATTAACACAAAGTAATTGTTTTTTATTATACATACAATTTTTTAAAACAAAATACTGTTAATAATTTGAGTGAAGTTAGAAAATTGTGTTTAATAATTTAGAGTCGTTAGAGGAGGAGGAAGAAAGATTTTAAACCGTTCTGCTATTTTTTATTTTGTTAATTTTTTTTTTTTGCATTTTTATACTTTTTATGGATTTTAAGTACAATAAATCTCAAGTCCTAGTTAAAATATATAAATATTAAGTACACTAAATTGCTTAAAATCACTAGAATGATTTAAGAAAACGTCTTGAAACGTCTAAAAAGAACTAATTTAATTAGGTACTCGGTGAAAATGTCAGATCTCTACAATTGAATTACTCTGCATAATATTATATCCTACCTAGCCAACTTTTCATCTATAATAATAACGCACCCATCTACAGTATCAGCTTCCTTTTTTTCATGATAACAATTTATGTACTTTTTTTAAATCTAATTTGAAAAAGGGAGGGGGAGATCGTTGCTATTTTAAAATCAAAATTCGATACGTACTTAATATTTAAGGTCTATACATATGTATACCTACGGAATAATGGTTAAATGTTGATAATATTTCTAAATACGATTCGCTAAATGATTATGCATGATTACTAAACAAATCAAAATCGATTTTCCTCCGCATAGCTGTATAATTTCCGGATGATGATAAAAAAAAACACATCATTCTGTATAGATTCATTATTATTAGCGAAGATTACGATAATAAAATATTTCGATGTTTTATGTACAAATATTGTAATACGTTTGAATAACCTGTCACAATGCGCGCAAAGTTATCGTAGACATTTATTAATAATTGTTTTGACACTTTTGTGCGAGGAAACTACATCAAACTCGCTTCAAAAACGATCCGAATTCTGGCGAAATATTGCGTTAGTATTGTTTCAAAGTTAACATCCCGAAAGTCACACAATATAATTTTGACATTCCGTTCCCGTCCGCAGTAGTGTAATAACTATTAAGTTTTTCGACAGTAGAGCAGTAGCAGCACCTCTCGGTACGAAAACGCGTTCGGGGTTTAATAATATCGGTATGATAATATTTAACCGAGACATGTCTTCTAATACGATTAAGAGGAGTTAATAACAGTCTGCGGTTTATTAATAATAATTATCTTGAATTTACTTTTAAATCCTGCATTTGTAAAATGACAAAAATAATATTTTTCAAGACAATTTTATTAAAAAAAATGGCTGATATAACACACATCATTCATTTCGTTCTCAGTATTAGAAATTCCAAATATAGCAAAGAAGTTATTAATTTTAAACAATACAACACCGAATTACGAATACGTACTCTCAGTA